GTGCATCCATTTATTTACATATCACCTCTTTCCAAGAAAGACAGCGTCCCATCTGTCTGTCTGGTTCAGAGGTTTTCAGCCTGTGATATGGGGCCTCCCACAGACAGGCCTCGGGGCTGAGCAGCCATTGGACTCCAATTTTGCTGCAAAATTGTAATTAAGAAGCAACGTGTGCACTTGAGTGTGCTCTGCACAGTACTTGGACAGGCAGAGGCCGCCGCAGGCAGGAATCCCTGCTGCCAGGTTCACGGGGCCCGGTGCCTGGGCAGGGGCTGGGGGGTTGGGGCAGCCAGCACCTGGTGAGGCTCAGCGGCTGAGGCCTGAATGGAGGCGGAGGGTCAAGCTGGGGCACGTGTCGTCTCTGAGAATCTAGTGACGGGGTGCCAATCACCCTCCTTCTCCACCTGCGAGACTGGGTGACTTCCCAGGCTCACGCAGCTGGCCAGTGGTGGAGCTGACAAGGGGACATTACGCAGAGGGTACTGAGGTCGAGGAGGGGACATCTCCAGGGCCCAAGGAGGGGAGGAGGGACATCTCCTTGGGGTGCGAGGAGGCAGTGTGCAGAGTGGGCACTAATTGGTCCCTGCCTTTGAATCCTGGCCCCACCTGCCGGCTGGGAGCTCCTGAGCAAGCTTTCTAACTCACCCAGGCCTCAGTTTCCTCACCTGTAAAATGGGTTGCAAAACCTGGGCTGAGGCCTGTGGCAGGGACTGACCGTGTCACTACATGCCAAACCCCGGAATCAGTGTGGAGCATGTGGGAGTGGCCCAGTGGGACACAGGTCCCTGCAGCCTGGTCTGGGAGCTGGGCTCTGTGTAGAGACCCCACCACTCAGCAGCTGAGGGGCTTCCTGGGTGTCGACCTCTCTTCAGATCCCTAATAAGGGGCCACTGATCCTACCCCATAGTGACAAGCTCATGAGCCAGGAGCCCTGCCTAATGCCAGACACAGTCCTGGAAGGGACAGCTGGGACTTCACTGAAGGCCACCACAACGTTCTGTCCCCTTTGGGTGAACAAGTGGAGGGCTCCCCAGGAACTGTAGGGAGGCCAGCAGGAGGCAGGTGCCGGGGACCCCCTTACTCTCTGGAGAGGCA